TCGCATTCCCATAAGACCGGACGGACCACGCCGACCCACCGCCCCCCGTCCGGTCCCCTCCCGGGCTCCCGACCGACCGCCCTCCCACCAGACCCCCCACCCGGACCGTCGCGTCTCACTGTCTGGCCCACCTGCATCCACCGCCCACGCCACCTCTGCACAGCCGGCCTCCCCGCGCCCCCACCCGACCTGAAAATCAAATTGCGGGCCCAAAAACGCGTTTTTGAGCTTCTAGTGCAATTTTTATGTTTCTACTGCATTACATACTGTTCTTGTGCCAAATGTCTTTTCTGCTCTTCCGTACACCAATAGCTCACCCTCACATGAAACATCAAATTCAAATCCTAACATAAGCTGGGGTTACATTTCTAAATTCCTTTATATCAATCTTAATACTATATTCAAATAACTGTATTGCACTGCTGAATACATTTAGCACCTACATGTATTCAAGCCCTGGCACTTTGGCCCAGAGGCAATGTCTCTGTCATTGGTGTGGAACCCCAGGCTTCACCTCCTGCGCAAGTTCGAATCCCAGTTAGGGCGGTTGGTACCTTCCGGTGGGCTCACCACCTGCTGGAAGGTTGGTACGGTGCAATGTCATTTTGGTGGCGACTGCTGCCCCCGCGACCCCGTAACGAATAAGTGGCTGAAAATGGATGGATAGATGGATGGATGTATTCAAGCCACCTAAAAGAGGCAAACCTAATATAACTCAATGTCAATTTAAGGGGGAACTCACACTAATGTAGTACTTCAGGCAGCCCATCTGAGGGAGAGAGGGAGGTTGGGCGTCAGAGGCTTCCAGTGGAGTATACTACACTGCATTGAAGTGTGTCATTGCTATAACGCTTGAACGGTAAAAACAAAACAAAATGTAGTCAGTAGGTACGAACTTACAAAAACACATATCATTCTGTCTTTTTCATAATATTTAAATTGTATGCTGCTGGTGGTGCTTTTCCATGTACATCATGTTGCACCTCTGCGGGTTTGTTACTTTACTAGTAACATTGTTATGGCTACATTACTTCTCTCAGACAGTTTCAAAATAAAGCCTTTACTTAGCTACCCTACATTAATAAAACAACTGTTAGATTAAATGTTAACCATGCTTGTTTGTAAACATCACTTTTAGTGGCCAAGTTAAGCAAAAACTTTATTGTCTGAGAAGAGCAAATCACAAATGATGAGAGAATATACAACCCCACCAGCATGCCAGTGTTTCATACAAACTGTACAATGTTGAAGGAATGTATGGATCAGGAAACATAATAATGTGTCACTGCAAACACATTTAAATCCTTTTTTTCTGCTACACGTTGGTTTGACTTAATACATACAACTCATCTGTACTCTTCCATTTTTCTTTTCCAGGTCTCTGCTTTCCATGGGCCCATTTATTTCAGGTTCAGGAATTCAATCTCAAGAGTGCACTCTGCTGGATCGTTCGGTCATTGCTGATTTGATTTTTTTTTCTCCTACTCTTCTGTACATCTACATTTCTACTACAGTGTTTCCCACAGACTACAACGTGAGATTTAGCCCTTTGTGTACACATTACTTTAGTAAGTACCCAACGGTTGGACCTTGAGCAAAACTCTACTGTGCCACAAAAACGTTTTAGTTATTTCAAGTTTGTCTTTTCAGGCATTTGGGGAAATACTTAACTTATAAAGACCACACTTCACACTACAGCGGTTAGGGGCGTCAAAGAAAAAGTAAATAAACTCACCTCAAATAACTTGAACACTCCTCTCACCCAAGAGAGGAGTGTTTAAGATGAGTCCTGTTTTTTTTTACATCTGAATGACTCTCCATTACAGCTGGACTACATATGACCTAGAAAGAGGGCTGAGCCTATGATTTACTGACTACATTATAGGCAGCATTGCTTGTGCACACAAGGCATGACTCACTTTTAACTTGATTCCATAAGTAAGGCAGCTTTTTTAAACCCCTATAGCTGTTATCGCCTTTGCTCACTTTGGAGGCCATTATCAGTTTAAATGGCCGCCTCCATTTCTTTCTTCTGAACCGTGAGTTAACAGTGGTGTGACTATAGTCATGTCACACAACAATTGCTACTAATTCATATTACTGTTAATAATATAAAATAGCAAACACTAGTTGATTGCACAGTAGCTTTTCCACATGTACTTCATACTGAGCGAGGAAGACGCTATTCTGGAAGGGCTTAATCTCTTCAAGCAGCATAGGAAAAACATGTAAGAAACATCTTGAAGTTGGATTAGTGTCAAATGTGCACAACACATGGAACATTGCTGTGTTGTCAGAAGGACGGATGGGTTGAAACCATGGAGTGGGTGGGGCCTGGGGCTGTTGCTACTGCTGTTGCTGCTTGCTACCGGTGCTGACAATGAGGTGGGAAGAAAGCATATTGAGTGTTAATACAACAAAGCAGGAAAATAAGGCATGACAGCGTGAAATACACAACAGAGTAAAAAAAAAAGGCTGTTGGACACAGGGAGTGGCAGAAGGACTACACTCCTCCTTCAAACCTGGCCCTGAACACAAAGGCCTCTTTATTCTGGCCAGTCTTTCTTGACGTCGAGGCTCCACTCCCAGGACAGATGGTCGTGTTGGTCGTCGTCGGTGAACTTGGATTTCACAATGTAAGTGCCACGGGCCATCGAACCTTTAGGGGCATCCTCAGCCGTTGTCAGGAAGTCGTATTCGTCAGCTCGTGGTCCGTAGCTGCCCACCATGTACGTTGACTTGTCAACTTGTAAAACATAATAACATTCAAAGAATCATAATAACATAACACACTATATCTCAAAGTACCAATGATGCAGCAAAGTTGATTGCTGCATCACTGGCACTTCATCTACACATATTACACATCAATTGCACTGCAATGCTATAACTATTGCATGTGATGTGTTCTTTTTCTATTAGGTCATTCTTTATCTTTTATTTTTACAGGAATGTTACCATGGACAACAACTGCAAAATAAACATTTCATAAATTAAAGGTAACAGAGTGCCAAATGTATACATCTTGTTATAAATATTTCAGTAATTAACTGTTAAGTAATAGTGATAATAAATGTTTGTTCAACAACAATAAATAATAAATGGAAATATTAAAAACTCACGTTTGATTCCTTTCCTATACAGCTGCTGCACATATTTCAGACCTGAAACGATCTCCTTGTTCACCTGAGGAGACAAAGACAGTGTTAGAGACAGTACACATTCTTGAACAACTTTTAAATATGTTTGTCCATCTCTAACATTCTTCTACCAATGTGTCCACTGTCCCTCCTCTGCACATGTCCAAACCATCTCAATCTGGCTTCTCTAGCCTTTTCTCCAAACCTTC